ACTGTACATTTTTGTTATAGAAGTAAAGGTGTCAAATGAACATGCAATCCACCTCATGGTTATTGATACTGTAGCCCATAGACACCTACATCTATTATTGATTGAAAATCAAAATGCAGATATGTTGTCACCCACAAACTAAAAAAAGTCGTCACTGCTAAGGACTAAGATGAAATGCTATGTTATAGATGCTTTATCTCATGGATACGGGCAAGCTTTACTTGCGCTTGTGTCATATAGAGACACACTTGCATGAATTAGTTTAGTATAGATTACGACGGACTGTTTTCCGCAACTCCACATCTAAGTGCGTGTCATCAACATCATCATTACAGCCCTTCACAAGTCCACTGCTTAACATAGGCCTCCCCCAAGGAATGCCACAAAGTACGGTCCTGAGCCACCTACATCCATCAACTTCCTGCATATCTTACCAGGTTGTCACTCCATCTAGTAGGGGGATGCCCTATACTTCGTCCGCCAGCACAAGGCCGCCACTCGAGAACCTTTTTTCCCCATCGGTTGTCGGTTCTTCGAGCTATATGGCTGGCCCATTGCCACTTCAGCTTACTAATCTGTTGGGCTATGTCGGTGACTCTGGTTCTACTGCGTTCTATATCCTCATTTCTAAGTTTATCACGCAGAGAAACTCCGAGCATAGCCCTCTCCATAGCTCGCTGAGCGATTTGAACTTCCTCATCTGGCCAGCAGTGAAGGACCACGTCTCAGTTCCATAGGTCATCACTGGCAACACTCACTGGTTGTACAGTCTCGTTTTCAAGTTTTGAGGTATACCTGACGAGAAGATGTGCCGTAACTTCCCGATCGCTGCCCAACCGATTTGAATCCATCAATTGACCTCTCGGTCGAAGTTGGATTTACCTAGACTCGGACTATTTGTCCCAGGTAAACATACTCATCAACAACTTCGAGCTTAGTGCTCCCAACAACTACTGGCATAGGTGTGACATGGACATTAAACATGATCTTTGTTTTGTCCATGTTCATCTTAAGACCTATCCGTTGGGAAACACTATTGAGGTCATTGAGCATAGTGCTTAGTTCCTCCAGTGATTCTGCCATAAGGACTATATCATCAGCAAATCGAAAGTGAGTGATGTAAGTGCGTGTGGGCAGGAATAATGTGATTATTCGAGCCATGAAATCTCCCCAATGAAGGTCAACAGTCCTTTGATGTTGCAAGAAACTTCGGGGAGTGATCTCAGTGTGCTGAGATGTTTAGTCCTGTTTGCAGCAACCTCTGGACATTTCAGCAACGTGTGGGCCACTGTTTCTTCCTCCCTCATACATTCCCTGCACAGGGGACTATCTGTAACAACTATGGTAAATACATGTTTGTTAAAGGAGCCATGTCCTGTAATAGCAATGAGGGCTAATAATTTTCTGCTCACCAGATGTCGCTAGTTGACACTAAGCTAAAGTGTTTTGTTACACAGTGTAATTTAATTGAGAAGTTTCTTTTTAATAAAAGTTTATCAGTTTCTACAGTATTATATTAATATACAAAACAATGCTTCAGTGGTTTGCTCTTTAATCTTTTGCACATTTTTAACTTTTTTAATTTTTCTACTTTTATGAATATATGTGGTTTGGTTTATTTATTTTTAATGTTATTAATATAAAATATAGCTAATAGTACAAAAAGAAACAATAACTTTTACATTTTCCGAACAAATTATCTTCCCCACTATGAAATCTGTATATTATACCTCACTTTCTAGTGGCGCCGCCCTGGTGGCAGAAAAAGTCGTGGATGCTCTCATTGTTACTATCCTGATCTGTGTCTAGTTCAGTCTCATTAGAACCTTGGCTAAACAACTGTTTATTTCAAGCAGGGCCTCCCTGGGTTGTCTAACTCTAAAACTCTAAGCCCTTTTGGGCTTAATCCATCTGGGTGGCTGGTGTCATTTAATTGTATCTTATACTTCTTATCGAATACAAATTGTTTGGGTTCTATCAATTACACCTGTATGAGGGACTACTCTAAATAAAATATAAAAATTATGTCTTATGTAGTTTTATACCACCTCCTGCCCTCCTTCAGTTGCATATACTATGACCATCACTACTAATCCCAATACTACTATACTAGGAAAGACACATCATCGTAGATAACATGACTTGTTTCACCTCTAAGAGAGACATCGTCAAGAGAATAGACTACAATGGCTGACCGCCAAGTGAACAGCAAGCCAACCATAGAGGAGTATATAACTAACTAAGAGCCAAACTAGCTGCTCATATATACAACCCAAAATATCTTATAATATTATCAGTATGTAGATGATATAATTATTTGCTGGACTGGCACAAGGAGGCAACTGGATGTTTTTATTAATAACATACATAGAATCCATCGTAAAAATAAATTTAAGCTTAAATTAGAACATGTTTGTTCCCTGGATCTGAAGGTCAAACACACTAAAATATAAAATTATAATAATGTGCAAATTCACCTACACTCTCTAGTAAGACCAATCTGCCATCATGAGATAAAATACTTTACTAGTAAAAAGAATATCTAGTTCTCTACACTCTTCAAACACTATGCATTTATTTTATACTGGTATTATGTGAGAGTGTTGCCTTTCTCTAGTCAATCACACTCATTTGTGTTACAGCATGGTTCTACCACACATAACATTAAACGTTGTTAGTTTTTTTTAACATAAATAATTTACTTCATAAAAATCAATTTGGTTTCACAAGGGGTCGCTCGACAACTGATGCTAGTGTTGAGCTGATTAAATATATCTTCAATGCATGAGAGAATTTACAGGATGCTTAGGGTATATTCTGTTACCTATCCAAAGCCTTCGATTGTTTTCACCATGAAACGTCAGTCAGGAAACTACAACACTATGGTGTAAGAAGTAATGCTCTTAAATTAATTGTTTCATATTTAAGTAACAGAACATAAAAAGTTATCATTAATAGTATGAGCTCTTTAGGGTCGATAGTACAAATGGGCGTGCCTCAAGGCTCAATTCTCGACCCCTTTCTGTTTCATGTATATATTAACTTACCTTACATAGGGGATAACCGTAATATAATATTATTTGCTGATGACACGTCATTAATTTTCAAATTAAAACGACAATTGTTAAAATATGACTCTTACCAGTGTTGAAACATCTAGACTTGTTTACTTTAGCTATTTCCATAACATAATGTCTTATGGTATTTTACAATGGGGGCACGCTACTGACACTGAAATTATATTGGTTTTACAGAAGAGGGCCATACGAGCAATCTATTATTTAACACCTAAAGAGTCGGTCCGGCAAAAATTTAAGGAAATTAATACATTAACTTTGGCCCCTCAATACATTTATGAAAATGTAATGTACGTACACAAAAATAAAAGTAGTTATACAAAAACTAGCTGCACCTCGCGACTCTTTTTCCAAAATATAAGTAGCCTAAGTTACTCCTTATAACATCGGCTATCTGTCAGTGAAAGTCCCGTCGAAATCGATCCAGCCGTTTCGGAGATTAGCCGGAACAAACAGACAGACAAAAGGAAATGAACTTGATTCCATACAAGCTTGGGCCCGGCGTGAACAAACTTAAAATATGTGTTAGTTTGGAGATTTAAATATTTGCTACATATATCCAAAAATCATATTTTTGCCGGGCCTGGGATTTTTGTTTTTATGTTGTTTTATGATTTGTAGGTTATGTAGTAAAATTTCTTGTGATAGGTTATTTGAATAAATTTACAAAACACAAAAGAATGCAGTTTTGAATTTATTATTATATAAAGTGAAATAAAACTCAACCTTTTTTAATTGTTTATCTATTTTCTGCAATTATCAATAAAATGTCATCAAAAAAAAACAGCCGGAGGCTGTACATTTTCTGTTCTATTCCTCTCAAAACTTAAGTATCACATTATTTTCATTATATGGGCGCAACACACTAATGTCCTGTGATCCGAGAGAAAATCCAAGAGTCAAGTTAAATAAATCCACGAAAGTAAAAACATGAAAGCTACCTATCCAAAAAACAGCTACATACTTGGTAACTTCAAGTTTCAGCCGCATGACAAGCTGAAACTTGAAAGTTACCAAGTTAAGTCTTCTTCGGAATATGCAATGATCAATAACCATACAGCCTATTCAGTAGTGTAGGATAATATTCAATTGTTTTTTCATGTAATGACACAACCTATTCAATCGTTTTCTAAATATATTATTTTATTCAACATTAATAAATGCAGATTCGCGTCAATGTTACAATATTATGATTTTTTTTTTGGTAAAGAAGGTTATTTTATTATAAAAATAGCCTTCATTATCATAAGCAAAAGCATTAGCTTTCTATTTCAGTTTAAAAAAATGTTTTTATGATTGTCCCAAGGACTACAAAAATAAAAACCATTTATTTATGATGATAATTTATCATTATATTACTCACCTATTTTTGTATAACTGTTATGAACGATGTCAACAACCCAATTTCATACATCTCCTTTTAAAAATTGTGTTTTTGTTAAGTTAGTAAAAAACTGTAATTTTGACATTACAAACAGACACTTCAATTTTATTTATTTATATAGATAATAACCCATGGGAATGAAGTGATTGCTACCAAGCTATTTCTGATTTGTTTTGTGTGGTTAATTGTGTACGAGTATGTAACATACATGATTGTAAGTTGTTATTTAAAAAAAAAAAGTTCCGTTGGGTTTCTTGTTGGTTTTTCCCAGGACGGAGGTATTTCTTCGAACCAGTGGTAATTAAACAACTTACTTTCAATAAGTATTATTTATAATCTATATTGAATAAAAAAGTTTCTGTTTCAAGCAAAGTATATTTTATATGACTTCAACTAAAGCATACTGTGAACTAATTCTTGTTCTTATTGTAAATTTAATTTTCTTTTTTTAAATAATAATTGTGAATGGCATTGGACTTTTGGGAAATAATTTAAAACTGTTATTGTTGCAGTATGATTTTAACAATTAATTTGAAAACATGAAAACAGCAGTGACAGTCCTACAAGAAATGATGATGAAAATGGGTAAAATTCCTGAATATGAGTGCATTGCACAGGTAAGTAAATTAAAATAAATGGCCTGTTTAGTGTTTGTATTGCTATGAATAAAATTTGCTTTAATTAGCATTTTAAAAAAATATGTAGAATATGAAACTAAAATCAATCTTTTATTTTGATATATATCATCCAATAGGTCTTATAAACTCAAAATAATAAAAAAAACTATGGTTGTCGACCCCGACCCAAGAGTGGCAAATATGGCAAAGAAGGCAATATATGGAGGCCGAATGAATAAATGATCGGCTCGGTTGTGAAGGAAACCGCTGCAGCCGAGGTGGAGTCGCGGAGGAAGAGGAGTGTTGGTATGGAGATGCGCCACTCGCCGTATCCTCTGCGACTCTGACAGGTCCACACCGTTGATGCGGTGGTTGTGGGGCCGCGGGGGGAGAAGAGTTTCGGTATTGCGAGGTGCCGCTCTCCCTACCTTCCGCGGCCGAAACTTGGTCGGCGGTGGAGCCAAAGACCAGATCCGCCGCTGGAGTGGGGAAAACGGGTGCTACCGAGCGCTCGATTTTCCTGGCCCCATGGCCTTCGCGTATCGGACTCGGAGGGGAGGGGGGCGTTACGCAGCTGGAGTTGTAGGCCGTGGAGGAAGGTGTATCTTGTGTTCCTGATGCGTCTTGCATCAGGTCTGGTTCTGTACTCGGATAGCCATCGTAGCTCTACTGTACAAACACTTCAGCACTTCGATATACCGACAGTCAACTTGGCACCGCTGAAGAGACTGCAGCACCGCCCAAATTTCGACGGAATCAAAGGCTTTCTCATAGTCCACATACGCCAGACATAGTGGCAAATTGTACTCTTCGGACTTCTGTACAATTTGCCGAAGGGTATGTATGTGGTCTATGGTGCTAAAGCCCTTTCGGAAACCGGCTTGTTCGGGAGGCTGGAAGTCGTCAAGTCTGCGCGCGAGACGATTCGTAATGACTCTCGAAAACAGCACGTAGACGCGGCTCAGAAGGGAAATTGGTCTGTAGTTCTTCAAGAGAGCGTTGTCACCTTTCTTGAAGAACAAGACCACCGCACTTCTGCTCCACGCCTCCGGTGTAATGCCACCGTGGAGGACGGAATTACAGAGCTTCTGAAGGACTTCAAGTACCGGTCTTCCAGCCGCTTTCAGAAGCTCCGCTGTAATACCATCCTCGCCTGGGGCCTTGCCGTTTTTAAGGTGCTGGAGAGCCATTCTAATCTCGCACAGACTGACGTCCGGGATATCTTCGGAATAGTGTCGGATGAGACTCGCTCTTGGATCAGGGGTGTCACTTCCACTATGGAAGGTATGGAGCACTCCATACCTGAAGTTTTTCAAGGTATGGAATTCCATAGCTGAAATTAGGAAATAAATCGCATATTACTACAAACCCCATATAAATAAATCGCAAGCCCTTAAACCTCAATACCCCACATCTTATAGTTCAATAAATAAGTTGAGTATATACACTGCAAACTCTTAAACCTTAATACCCCACGAGTAATGCGAACAAATTTGAAAATCGCGCCACCATTTTCCATACCTCAGATTTTTACAAAGTGACACGCCTGTCTTGGATCGTTACTCACACTTGCTTGTGGCTCTTCGGTGATCGCTACCAGTTTTCACCCTCGCGATCACGGAGACATCACTGAACAGTTGTCGTCTGGTCGTCATAATGAAGTCAATCTCATTTTTTGTCGAACCGTCGGGGCTCGACCAGGTCCACTTCCTGTGGGGCCGCTTCTGGAAGAAAGAGTTCATCATAAAGAGTCCCTCTTTCTCCATGAAGTCGGCCAGCTGCTGGCCCCTTGGGTTCCGTTGCCCTATTCCAAATTTCCCTACTTTCATCTCACCGTTCTCTCTTGTGCCTAGTTTGCATTGAAGTCTCCCATTAACACCGTATATTGGGTTTTGGAGGAATGCATGGCTCTAGAGATATCCTCATACATTTCCTCCACCTCCTCATCGGGGTGTGCCGAGGTTGGTGCGTAAACCTGTATGACCTTCAACGAATACCGTTTGGTGATTCTGAGTATAAGGTACGCAACCCTCGTCGCCACACTCCCGATCTTTACAACGTTGTTAACGAGAGACTTGTGGACGATAAATCCGACACCTCCTTGGGACAGATGGTCGCCCTCCCGGTGATAGAGCAAGTTGCCGGATTCGAGGATTACCGTGTCCTCCCCCTCTCTTCGGACTTCGGATAATCCTATAATATGCCAGCGCAACTTGTCTATCTCTTCTTCCAGCTCCACGATCGTCTCGTCAGTCCTCATGGTGCGTGCGTTGTACGTTGCCAGGTCGATTCGTCTAAGGTGGCAACCGAACATCCACCGGAGATTCTTAGCACCCCCTGCCCCGCCGTTACCATGGTCGCCACCGTAGCCAGGAATAGCGGGGCCGCCGGGTACTGGGGGCCGTCTGTTTGTTGCTTTCATCATTGGGGGGTGTTTGCCATAGTTGCCACGCTTGGCGAGCGGGTTGGCAATCGCAGTTATTTTATTGTAATTTTTGCTATTATCAGGAAGATGCTGCTGCCCATCTCCTGCCTGTTTCCCTTTGTCGCCTTTTACGACACCCACGGGAGGATATGGGGTAGTGGATATTCTTGACCGCCACTACACGGCATGGTAAACAGTAAAAGTAATAAATTACGAAGAATCCAATTATTTTAGTGCTTCATAAAATATACTAACAAAAAACATTGAGATAATATGTTACTACGTAACTATAGTCGCCGCTGCCCAGTAAATTCGCGTCCCGATTACACCCCACCACGCTTATCGATGACGTCGGTCATAGATTAATAAAATAGAGGTGATATTATACATTTTACATTACTTACATAATGTTAAATTAAACAAAAAAGTATGGAAAAGTATTTTTATTTACTTTTTCATTATGCACCTACAAAATATTGACTGCTAAATATGTATACTTAACCCATTAAAAAATAAAATAAAATGAAAAATCTTAAACACGTGGAATCCTTAAAGATACATTGATACATCAAATGTAGAAAAAAAAATTACACAAATAAAACATTAATGTAGTAGAATGTTTATTTTACGTTTTTTTTTTATTGCGTTATAAAATTGAAAGAAGAGTGTTTACAATAAAATAGTAAATACTATAATAGAAATTATAAAAGAAAAAGGACAATATTAATATAGGTTATGACTTAATTAAAAAAGAGTTGTCGCTTCTGTGCCTTAGGAGCTTTAATTCATGCTCGTTCTTTTTTATCTCTCTCGCTCTTACGTAATAGCAGCGCGTGGAAGCAAGTCAGCAATTACGATTTATTTAATTCTTTCAAATCATAGAAAATTAACCTAAATTATACGAATTTCACCTAATAATATATTACTTACCTATGAAATGTTACTCCTTCAGATTTTGATGCATTTCTAGAACTATTTTTACAGTATCTAAGTACGCAATACGGCATAAATAATTATTTACGTAACATGGACCTAGAAAAAAAGGCGGACAGAGTCTCGCTAACAAACAATTGAAGCGTCGCAGTGACGGTAGCGTAACTATGTGTGAGCGTGTAGAGGGTTGCAAGATGGAGAAAAATTACCCATTTTTAAACGCAAAATAATTCAATTAGATTTAAGACATTCGTCACCGTCTTCGGAACCAGGACTTTAAGTTTAATAAAACAAAATTGTAATAAAACACATTGAATATAAAAATATTGATTATGAATATTTATTAATATTATAATTAATTTACATTTATTAACGGTTTTTTTAAAGTCCCTTTTGTTGGGTTAATTTTTTATAATATTGTCTTTTACTGTCAAAAGACTTAGAAATCTCCTTCAATTTAGCTATATGGTGAAAACGAATATTCAGATATTTTTCGGCTATATATTCAATGAGAGCTATTTTATGTTTTACTCCAGCAAACGCATGGTCAAGTTTTAAATTTAAAAAAATCCTGTCGTTAGCTATATATTTTTCCAGAATTTTGGTAAGCCTGTACTGATGTTGTCTTTCAGTATATATAGTTATATTATCTCTTAAATGCTTTCGGATCACCATCTCGCAAGTACAACAAAAAGGATGTATTTACTTTCTAAAAGAAAAGCAATACATCCCTTTTATGATGTATTAAAAGAAATACATATCGGTGAAAAACATTGTAGTATAACATATTCAACTAAAAAAGAATCATCGAAAACGTTTCGACATTGTCGGTGTAACTTAGAAAAACAAAAAACATTCAGTCGACTTGAAAACCTCCTTTTTTTCAAATCGATTAAAAACTATTCTCTCCTTAACACGTACGTACCCCATGCGAAGCACTGGAAGTATTTGCTTCAACGAGTTGTTACTCCGGAACGCTTGACGCCTCAAATAAAAACTAAAAAATTAATTACGTTTTAATATGTTAAGCTTATAATTGTAAGAGGAAAATAGATATTCATTGTTCTTTATCTTTTTTGGGATGGCGTAAGTAACAACGCGAAGAAGTCCACCTTTTGTTCTCTATAAATCATTCTCCTCGAAATGTTTACTGCAGATTACACTAGATTTAGATGTATTCCAATTGTTTTCATTTCTACAGTCTCTTATTATTTGCACCCAGTCATTCTTCCACACATCATTTGCAGAGGGAAATCTATAAAATGTAAAATTTATAATATTGGTAGTTTAGTATCATGGGACGCCAAAAGTATATACAGAGGTAAATTAATGAATTAAGGAACAATTCAAAGTGAACAAAAAGATATTAATCTCCCATATTTAAGGTAACTTGCAAATTTAATAACTGGCAACACTGATTAGTTTCGTGTTTTGATAATAATTTTTGTTTGTTAATAAAATGTTTTGATAATAAAGTTTGAAATAAATTAAAGTAAAAACGAGAAATAAGGTGAATAAATTACTTACTTACCTATGAAAAGTGATACCCTGGCTTTTTTTAATGGAACCACTATGATTTCGACAGGCTTTCATTACAATGTTACGCGGACGCGGTTTGGAGTGTAATGGCGGGCGGTTGACTTACTATGGTGTGCATGTGTGCGTGCCGGCTTGTTTGTATTAGCGAGCTGACTTAGTATGGGTGCGTCAGTAATTGTTTTAAGAGACGGCGTCCGCCCTTTTTTCTAGGTCCATGTTACGTAATCTCTGCACCGTGTATCTCAGTCTCTCACTAAACAGCGAATAAGGCCCATTGAGGAGCGTGCACCAATGTTTTGTACAACGCAGTGCTTGTTGGTAGTAGCGACTCTAGTTACGTAGTAACATATTATCTCAATGACAAAAAAAAAAAAAACAGAAAATCATTGTTAGTCTTATTCTAAATATAATGTACATGATTCACAGGCAGGACCACAGCACCAGGCAATGTTTGAGTACCGTTGCATGGCAAATGGAGTGACGGTTACGGCAATGGCTCGATCAAAAAAGGAAGCGAAGCAAGAAGCAGCACGAATCATGCTACTGCAGTTGGACGAACGCGGTCTGTCAGTCCCACCACCGTTTTGCCGCGGCGGAGCGCCGAGCCACACTTTGGTTAGTTATATATATTTGACATGATCACACATCCGTCAGCCAATAAAAGTCAACTGCTTGATCTGGGTTTCCTCAAAAATCTCATAATGGAGGCAACCTATCTATTTGTCGTTATTACTAGTGATGTGCCGGATATCCGTATACCTTACTTTTTGGCGGACCTTTTACCTTATTAATTTTTAATACTTAGATGAAATTTTATAGGTGATTAGGTAGCAACTAGCAATGAAAAACTATTAAATTCCATTCAGATTATTTTTTATTTCTGTAAATCAAATATTTGGCACCTTTATATTGCAAACATTTATCGTAGTGAGCTACCATACCAATAGTACATAACTCGGTACAAAAATCTTTGTGATAAACTTATTAAAATAATGACATTGAAGTTTTTATAAAATAATAATTAAAATATCTTAAAAACCAGTTGAGTTTAAATCTTTGTGGTAAGCTTCTTCACACATTCATCATTTATTATCACAAAATAATTCCAAATTACAGTACTAAACTTCTTTGTAAACATTTTTTTAAGTCATTTACGAAACAAACGTTATCTATGCAGTGTCATGTGTCACACTACACTATAAACAAAACAAAAGAAAGACCCGCGCAATGCAAGTCGAAACATGTCCTGTCACGCAAGGCGTCAAGTGGCGTCAACTATCGTTTCAAGGTCCCGCGTGCCGACACCGATCGAGTAAGAAAATTAAGATCCGTATCCGCAGATATACATTTTTTACGATCCGGCACGCCACTAGTTATCACTATGCTTTGCATGTTGATTTACAGCTGCAGTGTCACGTTTTTACACTCTAGCTGCCTATAGTTTCATCGATTACCGCCTATTTAAAAGTCTACTACTGAACAACATTCCCATAGATCGCCTCATTTTTGCTATAGTTGCCATACTTGCTAGCGGGTTGGCAAGTTTTTTAATTTTTAGCTGTTATTAGGAAAATCTACTGCCCATCAGCAGCTTTTGTTTACCTCTGTCGACTCTTACAACTACCATTACATGGTTTTCCCGTTTAGCCACAGTTCACCCATGCGGTTTACCTATACCTTAGTTCAAATAAAATCAAAAATACTTTGAGAGGCAATATTGATTGAACATGTTTAATAAATGTTACAGGGTCCATCAACAAGTACCAGTAGTGATCAACCTTCGTCTATTGGTCCTCTATCATCCCGTAGTTATGTTGCACTTCTCAATGAACTGTGCGAAGAATATCATCTTCCAGCCGTTGAGTATGAACTGACAGCAGACACTGGACCACCACACGCGCGCCATTTTACAATAAGCGCTCGCATGGGAATGTATGAGCGTCTCGCAACGTCCACCACCAAAAAGGCCGCTCGTCAACTTGCTGCAGAACAGCTCTACACCTATTTGAAAGAAAACCTTTCGAGGGTCACAAAAGATTTTGTTGAGGTAACCAATCCGTAATAGTTTTATCCATGATATAGTCACGTTGCAGCTATACTATAATTGTAGCACGAATGCGTTGAATCAACCGGGGTAAGACCACGCGCTCACAAAGATCCAGTGTAAAATAGCAGCTTAATGCAGCACAGTGTTTCGTATGGTGAGTGTAGAAAATCGGAAACCCTTTTTAAAGGAAACTAAGCATTCTGTATTAGTTCTTAGGGGTGACAATGCATCTGAATTTTGATTCTTAATTGAGACTAAATGTAGATGTCTATGGGCCACAGCATCCACTTACCATCAGGTGGACAATTCGTTTATCACTCTTATTTTATTAAAAAACAAGTTGTAATAGTCTGCTATACGTCCCACTGCTGGGCACAGGTCCCTCTTATTTCTGAGAGAGTTTTAGGGCAAGTTAATGTCCGCCGCGCTGCCTCAATGCGCGTTGGCGAACTTCACATGTCTTCGAAAAACTTTTTTTTTATTATTTGTCAAAGATATTTCTCGGGAACACGTCGAGTGCCGGAACGAACTTGTGTCTGAAGTCGAATTTTTCTAAATCTAGTCCAGTTTAACCTCCAAAAGGCACAGGTTTGCGCGTTTACCGCAAACAAAGAATCCGTCGTCGTAGTATCTCTTCAGTTTCAGGACAGTCCCCTCATTGCCTCAGCTAGCATCGGAATCCTTGGCGTCGACATTTCGAGAGACGTACGTACGTATCGTATTCAAAGGAAAGCGGACCGTATCGTCGACGACCAAGTTCTTTCCGATCGGCTTGATACACTGGCCTTGCGAAGAGACGTTGCAACTCCATGCGTCTTCTACCGCATATAACACGGGGAGTACTCAGAGGAATTATTAGGATTAATTCCAGGTGCTGAATTCCACCATCTTACACTGCAACAGAATTCGAAATTCCAACTCATCATCTCGATTGCTTGCGGCCCACTTCGGTGTGAATTACGCGGATTTTTTTGCCTCGCGACCATACTGTGAATTTATTTCCCCGCGCGCCCCTTTGTTACCCTTCATCCCTAGGCACGTGCCAAGTTTGCCTTTAGAATAATCCGCCACTGAATGTACTACTGCATCATCTTTCCAACTTATAAAAATTTGGCACAATATATGAAGTATTATTAACAAAAAGTTTTACTGCAACTAAAAATAAATAATAATATATTATATATAATTTGGGACCAATGGTCAAGACAGGTTCTCAAGTGAGAACCACGTACCGGTAAACGAAGTGTAAGACGACCGCTCACTAGATAGATAGACTAGGAGCGACGAACTGGTAAGATATGCAGGAAGTGGATGCAAGTGGCTCAGGACCGTGAGTTGTGGCATTCCTTAGGGAAGGCCTATGTTCAGGAGTAGACTTAGGTAGGGCTGTAATAATGATGATGATATTACACAGGATGAAGCACTGGTCCGGGCACATGAGAAAGCAATGGAGCGCTATGTGGAAGTTCGCGAGGACCTCGGTTGGCGACCCGACCTCGGTCAGAAGATCGCCGACTATCATTTAGGTCTGTTGACCCACATCGGTAAGTACACTGTCACTAATGAGTCCCCATTCTTTGTTAGTTGCATTGGAGTTTGGATGATGTGTGAGTACTCTATACTTATAATTTAGTCACTCCGCTTTGTATAATTGTTAATAGTTGCATGGCTAACTTAATCACTTGCAGTCATTAATTCAAACTTAACTTCTTGCTACGAAGAAAACTTAATCCAGTAACTTCTAACAAAGCAATTGTTCTCTTTATTTTATATATTATTATTTATTTTATTATATATATTATTCCCATTAATAAGGCCTTAACTTAAGGGGCTACTCCATGCGAACGACCTTGAGCATTTGCCGGCGGCGCGCCGCTCGCTTCAATATATTGCTTAATATGAAATATGTAAGACGCCACCTATTGTAGGTAAAAGAACGTAGTATTATTTTTTCATCATCAATAAACTAATTTATGGAAATACACACAGCGTACAACGATAAATGTATTTTAATTTTTTTATTCGGTATATTAGTTGCATTATATTAGAATTATGTATTTTCATATATTATCTAATTATGAAATTTTATAATTAATTATATATTAAAAATGAAGCATTGAAAATTGTGAGTTTAAAAGATACCTATTCACTATAGGTAAATAAATAGATAGCTCGCCTTTTGTACAAATATTTGGTGCAATAAATAATAAATAAATAAATAGGATGTTTCGTAGATGTGTTTTTAATTATTGTAAATTTTTACGTGTCACGTATTGAAAAGTAACATGCCTACCTACAAATTTTTGAACTGAGCACCTTGTAACTTAGCCTGCTTATTACTTATGCTGGCAGACATTATCCTCGCCCCAATGATTGATGAGGATGAAAATCAATTTTATTTCTACATACTTAATTATATTTATTTATACATAAGGGTAATACAAAAATCAACAAGAAGTATAAGGGTTCAATCTTGTTTGTGCAATTTATGTTTGTAAACTGCCTAGATTACAAACATAAATTGCACAAGGACAAACATCCAGACCCGGAACAATTATTTGTAGGCCATACAAATACAGTGCGAGATTCGAACCCGCGGCCCCCAGCGCAACAACTGATTGCTAAGCCACTGCGCCAAGGAGCCGTCGCCGGGTTATAGCTAAAGTGACCATACGTCCCGTTTTGAACGGGACTGTCCCTTTTCTCTGTCACCTGTCCCATTGTCCCCAAACAAAGCTCCGGGACACAAAATTGTCCCGTAACTCGTTGGATGGAAGTATTCAAAGTCAACAATCTTCAACATAATTTTTTTAATCGAATATATTTTATGTCTACCTGGTACGAATGCTCCGGTAGAAAGAGTATTTTTTTATTTTGAATAAATTGTGGACGTCTGAAAGAAACACTTACGGTTCCAGTTATGTATAATAAGGGTAACTTTAATAAAGGTAATACAAAAATCAACAAGAAGTATAAGGGTTCAATCTTTCAATTTCAATTGTAAAAAAACGTTACCCCCACACTAGGATTTTCTCCTGTGTCGTGGAGGCAGTTTACAAACATAAATTGCACAAGGACAAACATCCAGACCCGGAACAATTATTTGTAGGCCATACAAATACTTGTTCCGGGCGAGATTCGAACCCGCGGCCCCCAGCGCATCAACTGATTGCTAAGCCACTGCGCCACGGAGCCGTCGCCGGGTTATAGCTAAAGTGACCATACGTCCCGTTTTGAACGGGACTGTCCCTTTTCTCGGTCACCTGTCCCCAAACAAAGATCCGGGACACAAAATTGTCCCGTAACTCGTTGGATGGAAGTATTCAAAGTCAACAATCTTCAATATAATTTTTTTTAATCGAATATATTTTATGTCTACCTGGTACGAATGCTCCGGTAGAAAGAGTATTTTTTTTATTTTGAATAAATTGTGGACGTCTGAAAGAAACACTTACGGTTCCAGAGTTCTAAAGGCGATGTTGTTGACAAAGATAACAATAAAAAAACTTGAGCAGAATTTTATTTTTATTTAAAATCATCACCAACTTTATTAAAACAAATTTAATCCACTGACAAATGTAATTAATAATTAAAAAAAATATGTTGCATTTAATAATTACCGTCTATTCCGAATATAATTTTACAGTGAACACTAATTGTATAAAGTTATAGTTTTTAGAGTATAAATAAACCCATGTCCTGTTTTGAGTTAAAAAATAAATGGTCAGTTTAGTCTTTTTAGTTAAATTTAGTTTTAAAATTTTTTAGTTAATAGTAAAAAGTAGGTATATTAGTACCTACTTAGATACTTTTTACCGAATTATAAGTATAGAACACCTTATGTACTCAATTATTTTTTGAAAAAGAAGAAAAAACAAGCAATAAATAATATACTATATTTTAGCAAAAAACTATAACTTAGTAATAATAATTATAACTTAAAACATAAATGAAAAACTCATAACTGACTTTTTGGCCCGACCCAGGATTCGAACCCGGGACCTCATGATCAGCAGTCGCACTACTACAACCACTAGACCAACGAGGCAGTACTATACTTAATAAGATATTGTGGTTGGGTGATAATATTGAATTAGCCTTTTATAGTGTAAATTATAATATTTTTCGAAATTTTAATTATGGATTCGAACCTTACATGCTAATGGTGCTTCATTTTTTTATTTGCATTTACTTCAAAGAAAATACACGCAAAAAGCTTTATCGCGCAGTAAAAACCACAACAAATATATGTATAACTAATACGAAAAATTATACCCAAAACAAACAAATAATACTACCTATAAATAACCTAATAAGTAATATTAATATAGACTGATATGACGTGAGTGTATGCGCTGGTCGACGCTCTAACGACACGGGCTTCACGTCGAAGAGCTCAGGGCTCACTGACTTCAGCAAGCCCGTGACCAGTGAATATGCCCAGATTTTAAAATAATTTCTTAATAAAATCAAATTTTGGTCTATTGAAAAAAAATTTACTATAGAAATGTTCATTAATAAATTGCCTATCCATTGGTGTAAATCGCAAAATAAAATAATACTTACTTTACGAGGAGATGCATGTTATCAATAATAATTTCACATTTATGTAGTTTCGTTGTAAGGAGATTATATTAATATTTATTCCTTTAAAAAGAATTGGATATAGCTTTTATGGAATCAAGATTATGTAGAAATATAATGTGTTTTTTTTATTTGTTGATATATCTTTTAAATAAAAAGTAGATAGTTCCTAAAAACCGCACAAATAACGACTAGCGCGACATTTTGCTCAACCTGCGCCTTAACAAAACACCTTGAAAGTCAAGCATAATATTCCGCAGGTTTGAATTCCGCACGGAACAAGTATTTGAATGACCTACAAATAATAGTTATTTCAAGGTCCTTGTGCAGTATAAACTGCTTCCACGATACAAAATAATATCCTAATGTGAGGGTAACTTTTTTTTAATCAAAAGAACATTAGCCATGAATTTATGCATAGGCAAAATGGTAAAATTTCATATATCATCATCAACTCGGCCTTTCATAAATATAGGTACATTGCAGAATATAGACCACTTCTAAATGGAATGTTACAAAACACTGTCCAAATTCACCTACATCCATCAACTTCCTGCATGTTTTACAAATCCCATCACACCATCTAGTGTGCACTAGGGTGCCACAAATTGTACTTTATCTAATCAATAATCATTTCAATTTACTGTCACAGTGCTTGTGTATTCACAGATTTGGAATTATCCAGGAGGCACCTCAACCGTCCTTAACTTACTGTGCTTGAACTTTCTTTAAACTTAATACCTACCTACATATTTAATTTGCATGATTATTAGAAACATACTTTTCTTATTATTTAAGACTAGCGACTTGCTCTGGCTTCACCTGGGTAAGATATCAACATCCTATGTTTAAATTTAAGACATTCAAAGATCATTTATTTTATCAATTTATTGTTTTTTTATTTAAACAAATGTTCAAGTTTTTCGACTAAATATAGCCTATATCACTCCCTGACATTGCTCTCTATCAGTTTTGAAATTTCATACAACCAGTTCAACCATTCCGATGATCATTGTTTAGATAAATTACAATTTAGGCCCGACAGACAGATTGACAAACATTTTGATCATGATTTAAAAGCACGCAAGAGGGATAACCCTCTGAGCCTTCGATGTGACAGACAGACACTTTAACTATAATATGTATGTATATTTATTCTATATAATATGTTGTGTAAATGTCTGAGACCTGGACCAGCTTAGGCGACCAGCAGCGGCCGAGTTCCAGGCTGCCCCACAATGCTTCATCGCTCCAGCAGGCTCCACCGCTGGACCATTTCTTTCTTCATTGTCACTGTTTCAGTCTATTAGCTTCATTGTACATTTAACTAACTTAAACTCGCCTAATTCCACATTCATCGTAGAATCGAACACGTGATACCCGACACAGTAAGGACAGTAGTTCAAAATTCGACATTCAATGTCCCGGATTCACTTTTCACAAAATTATAAATAGGGAACTAACGCGATCTCTTAATGAGTCATACGGTTCAGCGTTAAACACAACTAAGTTCCTTCATTCGACACCAAAACACCACGCCGCGAAAAGAATTCAAAATACGCCTCGTTGACACGTAAACTAACAAACCAACCAACACACAAAAAAGGGCACTTAACGCGACGGCACAATTATAATGATTTCCAGACAATCAACCGGGAGACGCTCTCGACCAAGGAATGCGCGGTTCGAATCCTAGACCGTATATCTACTCGGCGCGTGCGTGCACAATTCCGCATCACCCGAACAATTGAAATATTCCAAAATTCACATATCCACGTAGCGAAGTAACACGCCCTAAATCTAACTATCTGGACCCTACACGGTCGCGTGAACTTCTGCCGCGATAACCGATTTACGCGGGTTCCTCGCATCGCGGCCAGCGAGTAACTCCTTCGCCCACGTGTCGAGCCACTGCAAGCCGCACACGGACGCCCTACCTGGCGGCGTTTTTTTCACCTAC